GTCAACAACCTTTTTCCAATTTATCATGAAACCCAAGCTACATAACAATTTTATTTATGCACCCACAATACGAGAACATTATATTTATTGGGTGCACAAATAAAATGCTACGTTTTGAAAACCCTTGCGTGACATCATACGAACAACAGCCTGGGATAAGCGATGGAAAATTCCAGGGGGCTAAACTTGAGTCGAAAGGTAATTTGCAATCATAAAATTACCTGTTTTTTTCTGGAAATTCCCACTTTATGCCAGTCACCTGTTGACTTCTTAGACTAATAAGCACACTCCTGTATGCACTTTTCAAGTCAACTTTGGCCATATAATAAACCTTAATTTTTGGTTAGTTTGGCTGCAGTATCAACAGTAGAATACCTATGTTTATCAACAGTGGATGCACGGGCATTGACAGAAAGTCCCTGGGGTCTGCTACAATCATGAATAATTCTAACCCCTCCATCTGGTTTAGGGAATACTCCTACGAGACTTGTTATTAATGGAGGTTTATCAACCTCAGTGTAATTGCCATAAATTTTCTATTTCAGAGCGACTTTGTTCTGTGGCTTTGGCATAAAGTGGGGAATGGGGAATCTGGTTTTGCACTAGAATGATTATCTAAACAAATATTTACAGGGTTGGAATCAAGATCAATTATATGAAACCCATGTCTGATGCCTTATAAAATGTACTCTCTATCATAATCATGACCCAACTCTTTTTCCCAGGCTGCAATTTGTAGAGTCATTGTGGGTTTTCTACTTAATCGTGTTTGCTGCTTGATGTCCTGTACAAGAGTGTTGACCATAACACCCAGGTACACCACATGCTCATATTTACATTTCTTGTTGCATGTGTTGTAACAACGTAAATTTCACTTTTAGATGATATTTTTTAAAAATCTTTATACCCTGTTATCTACATGTAAATGGCAGATAAATGTTTGTGTGATTGTCATTTTGTGTTTAAAATGAAAACTGGGATGAAACTCATACGCCCACTTAAATTGATATGCTGATAATATACTTAATATTCTATGATTGAATAATTCGTAGTTCTCTGATTGGCTGATCCAACATTGTAGAAAACAAATACTGCACGTGACCTTCCAGGTGAACATAAGGATTTATTTTTCTACATTGGCCTAAAAATAGATTGAGAACTTCCAAATTGATACAGATGGTTCTGAAAAGTTATTTCACTCAACTTCCACTCAGATGAACATAACATTCACGCACATAAAATTGGGGGAGGAAAGGGTATGGCTGTCCCCTACACTTTTTTCTGGATGTAGTTTTTACTATTAATTTAGTATGAAAATATTTGTTGAAAGGCTGTTTGCCCCCTCCCCAACTTTCTGATACAGTGTTGTCAAATCCCTCATATGTTAATGGACCCTAACCCCCCCTCCCCCTTTTCGAAATAAAATTCTAGATCTGAGGTTGGAGAATTCTCCTCCTTTTTGGTGGCTAGTCAACAAATGTAAACAGGAGTAAGATGGCAAAGATTGCTGAGTGAGTTTGTATCATTTCCAAATCATTGAATTAAATAAAAATAAAAGAAGAGTTTGTACGATTAAATTAATAAATCATATAGTAAAACAATTATTGCTGCTTTTTAGTCAATACATGATTTACTACCTTCCCACTACAATATTCACCTCGCCCTTTGGGCTCGGTGAATATCGTATTCCTCAGGTGGCTAAATCAGGCGAGGTGAATATTGTACTTTGAAGGTGGCTAAATCATCATATTGACTGAAAAATAGCAATAATTGTATAATAATTGTTCATGTCTGAGTAATATGTTAAAGAAAACTGTTGCTCCATATTCATAAGAACATCAAGGTCCATGTATCTCCTGCAGCACAAAAACAACTATTAAATTCCTTTCTAACAGAAACAATTTAATTGAATCCCTTTACCAATTTAGCTTTTATTATTGATGATTTTATACATGTAGATATAAAAGACAGATTGACTAGAGAAATTGAATATTAATGATTGAACAAATGTTGTATAAACTAGTGTTAGCCACATGATTAAAACTCTACTGCACAAACAGCATCGGTGATCAAATTATGCATATTGAGAAATTCAAACTTTGAATCACTGAAACATCAACAATATTAATTTTCTAGCAAAGATTTTTAAATATCTGATTTTAATAACATGTTAACTTTGTCATATCAAAAAATTTTGAGACGTGATAAAAATCCTTTAAATAATTCCTAAAATGATTACTAAGAAAACAGTAACATTTAAATTACACTTGTTTTTTTACACTACTTTACACTACAATATCACAGTCAATATCAAATATAAAACATATCATTTTTTTTTCTTAAGTTTTATCAAAAAAATATACCATGTGTGCAAAAAATGCATTTTTTATAGATGAGAACTTAAAAAGCTATTTAAAACACTAGATGTGTCTGTGAAACACTAATGCCCCTGTGTAGCAGCTCATTGCAAGGGTTCAAGTTTCTCAAATACAAGTCAAGCTCCACGGTCAAGGTCAAGAGATTAAAAAAAGTTGGTATCCAAGAAAAGTCTTGTCACAAAGAATACACCTGTGAAATATGAAAGCCCTAGCACCAACCATTCAAAACTTACAGCGAAGGTTAAAGTTTTTCAAAAGTAGGTCAAACTCAAAAGTCATGGGGTCAAAATTAATGGTGCCCAAGGGAAGGTCTTGTCACAAGAAATACACGAGTGAAAAATGAAAGACCTAGCACCAACCATTCAAAAGTTATGGCCAAGGTTAAAGTTTTTTTAAAAGTAGGTCAAACTCCAAGATCAAAGCAGTCAAAATTGTTGGTATCCAAGGGAAGGTCTTGTCACAAGGAATATACATGTTTAATATGAAATCCCTAGCTCCAACCATTCAAAACTTATGATAAAGGTTTAAGTTTTTTAAAAGTAGGTCAAACTCCATGGTCAAGATCAAAGGGTCAAAATTGTTGGTACGGTAACCCAAGGGAAGGTCTTGTCACAATAAATATACATGTGTAATATGAAAGCCCTAGTTCAACCATTCAAAACTTATGGCAAAGGTTAAATTTTTTTTAAAGTGGGTCAAACTCCGAGGTCAAGGTCAAAAGGTAAAAAATATGTGTATTTAAGGAAAGGTCTTATCACAAGCAATATATCTTTGAAGTATAAAAGCCCTAGCACCAACCATTCAAAATTTATGGTCAAGGTTAAAGTTTTGTAAAATTTTGCAAAAGTGGGTCAAACATTAAGGTCAAGAGGTCATATATGTTGACACTTAAAGAAAGGGTTTGTCACAAGGAATACAAATGTGAAATATGAAAGACATAGCTCCATCCAATCAAAAGTTATGGGCAAAGTTAAAGTTTTTGTGAACAGACAAACAGCTAGACAGAGGGACAGAGCAAAAACAATATGCCCTTGAATCTTTGATTACACAGGCATAAAAACTAAGGTTATTTTCCATCCTAATTGAATTTTAAAAACTACATTGTAGAACACTATACTATAATGATGATGCACCTCAGATCTTTGAATCAGTAATTGTGCAACTTATTTCTCATCTAGAAATTACATCAGAGTGCAGTGTTTTCTTTTTACCTTCCTGTTAATTTATTTGAGGGAAAATTTAGCATTTTTTATTGGAACTTTTGAAACAGAAATTTATTATCCCACTCATTTTTTATGCCCCCATAATCGAAGAGGGGTATATAGTTTTTGCCCTGTCCGCCCATCTGTCTGTCTGTCCGCAAAAACTTTAACCTTGCCCATAACGTTTGATTGGTTGGAGCTATGGCTTTCATATTTCACATGTTTATTCCTTGTGACAAGACCTTCCTTTATGTATCAACCTATTTGGCCTCTTGACCTTGACCTTGAAGTTTGACCAACTTTCGCAAAAAATTACCCAACTTTAACCTTGGCCATAACTTTTGAACAGTTGGTGATAGGGCTTTCATATTTCACATGTTTTCATCGTGACAAGCCCTTTCATGGGTTTAAATATTTTTACCTTTTGACCTTGACCTTAGAGTTTGGCCCACTTTTAAAAAACTTTAACCTTTGCAATAACTTTTGAACAGTTAGCACTAGGGCTTTCAAAATTTCACAGGTATATTCCTTGTAACAAGACCTTCCTTTGGATACCAACAATTTTGACCTTTACCTTGGAGTTTGACCTACTTTTGAAAAACTTTAACCTTGGCCATAACTTTTGAACAGTTGGTCTTTGACCTGTTATAAATTGCATGTATATTTCTTATGACAAGGTCTTCCCCTGTGTACCATTAATTCTAACTCTTTGACCTTGACCTTGGAGTTTGACTCGCTTTTATAAAACATTAACCTTGACCTTAACTTTTGAATGGTTGGTGCTTGGGCTTTCATATTTATCAGGTATATCCACTGACACAAGTTCTTTCTTTGGGTAACAACATTTATCTTTTGACCTTGACATTGGAGTTGGACTTGCATTTGCGAAACTTCAACCTTCACCATAAGCTGCCATACGGGGGCATCAGTGTTTCACAAACACATCTTGTGTTTAATATATTTATGTAGATAACAATGCAACAGTGAAAGATACATGTATGTATATGAAAAAGGTGTTGGAACAAGCTCAAATAATTGATGTTAAGTGTTTGGTTTTTTAAAATTCAGTAGATTACTTTTCACTTTCATTCTGACTCTACAAAGCTCTTAGAGTCACCATCACTTTGATCCAATGGATATTTGGAAAGGTGTTTGCTACTTTTTCTTTCTTAACTATAATGTAAAGTTGCTTGATACATGTACAACTCAATATTGAGATTATCTGTTTCTTAAAAAAACTTCAGATCTTGGGGAAGTCTTCCTTCACATTTTGTACACATAGGTATATTTTAAACTGAGAAATTTTCAACTTTCTGTGATCATAATTGAGTATTAATACATCTAACTTAAAAGAAACAAACCACCTTTGGTGTTAATACCATAAAGTTTATGCAATTACATAGAATTACCCAATGCAAGTCAGTATTAAATTTCTTTGGAATTACTGAAAATCTGATTTTTTTATAGACACGAACATTCCAGCACCTCCCTAGTAAGCCTGAAAAAAATTTGTTCATGATTTTAACTTCAAAATCTGATCATATTATTCATAATGGAGGGTTCTTTGATTACATTTCAGTTGTCTCTCTATTTTCTTGTCATCATCACTACTAGAAAGCCAGCGATTACAAGGGAACACACTCTCCTCATAAAGAGGCTTCTCTCGACCACGTTTAATGTATTCCTTAGCCTCCTTCTTCTGAATATATCGCCGAACTCGCACCTGAAAATGTATTAAAGCAAAGAATTGTAACTGTAGGTGTTAATATGATTGATATCTGAAAAACTGTATAAAGTAATATCAAACAGCATGCTAAATATAACAGTGAAAAGAATGTGAAATTAAAGGAAGCAAAGTTTACTAAACATTCATAACTTCTACACTGACATTTCACAGTTGTTTTCCATTAAAAAAGTTTATAGTAATTGTAGAAATTTACAGCAACATTTGATATGAAATCATAACAACAATCTAGGATCTGAACTCACAAAGGCAATAAAATACAATAAAACATAAAACACAGTAGCTAATATGCAATAATGAATTTATAGGCAATGAAATACAACAAAACACAGTAGCAATCAGGCAATAATGAATTTACACACAATGAAATGCAATAGAACACAATAGCATACCTTCAGCCTCGGTCAACCAACACCTGACCAGGACCATAAAGTCAAGAGTAGACCTCATCAGAAGTCAATAATTGTTTAATATTTACAGTGAATCAAATTGTTCAGCCCTGGAACTTTTTGTGTTGCCTGCAGAGCAGAGCGGCACTTAGGGATCACTTTCTCAGGCATATGTCTGTCTGTCTAGCTGTCCGTCTGTCACACCCTATTTCTCAAGAACTGTAAGAGGTATGGATTTGATATTTTGCACATATATTGCTTGGTACTTTGGCTTTTGTAAATTACCATGGTAGCTGACCTTGTGCCCCTTGACCTTCTTTTCAAAATAGTTCATAGTGCTGATATACAGCATATTTTTGACATTTAAGAGGTAAGTCTATGCTATTTAGGATGTGCACTGATTTTCATCAGATATTATGAAAAATACCAGCATTACAATCCACTTGATCTTGACCTTCGACCTACTTTGCAAAAAATACCCCTGACAGTTTGATTATATTATGACTTTTGAATTTTGAGAGGCAGGATTTTGATAATTAGCATTTATACATGTTTATGAACTCATGATACTGTACTTTGAAACTGTATGATATTCAGTTACCACACAAACTTACATGTATATTTAGATACTATGAAAATACATTGGGATCGGTATCTCACAATGGATTGTGTAGACTGACAATTGCAGTAAAGACAGACTGAAATCTGTTTTGGAGAATTCTTGGAAAAATGTTGAGCTCATGATACAGTACTTTGAAACTGTATGATATTCATTTACCACACAAACTTATATTTAAATATTATGAAATTACATCAGGATTGGTTTTCCACAATGGATTGTGTAGACTGACAATTGCAGAAAAGACAGACTGAAATCTCTTTTGGAGGATTGTTGGAAACATGTATTAATAAAATGATATAAATAATAATAAAATATATAAAGTTCATGTTCTTATGAGCTACCATGGGATGACTAAGAATATTTTCATTATGATGTGACTCAGAAGTCAGAAAAGAGTGCAAACTTTTTTTTTTTCAAAAATGATCGATGAATGACAAAAATATGTGGCAAGTTGTCAGAAAATAATGTAAATATAAGAGATGAATTTAATTTTTGAGAATTCATGAAGTACATGAACTACAAAGCTTCACGCCTGCATATTATCATGAAGTGCTAATACGCTTCATGAAATATGCCGGCATGAAGCGTCGTAGTTCATGTCCTCATGAATTCTCAAAAATTATATTCATCTCTTCAATATATGAAAAGAGGATTGGATTGTAGCAGACTAAAAATTCTTCATTGTAAAGATGAGCCATCACCAGTATTTATCAGTGTATGAATTCTCATAAAAATGTATTCAACAGTTTCTCTTCCTCATTTTGTGTTAACATTTGTGTCAAATCTCATACTCTGCTACAATTTGGTTAGAGCTATTCAACTGTGTCATAATTTTCTGATCTGAAACTGAACCAGACACATAATGTGATGAATGGACAGACAGAAGAACAGCAGAATGGAAGGACAAAAGACAGATAATGAGTCACAACAAACATTACATCCCCCCCACCACACCACCACCCATATTCATTATATTCATTTGTGGGGCATAAAAAATGATATGTGTGAACGGAACATTTCAGTTCCAAAAAACTTCAATTAAATTACCATTACAGGGATTTGGAAATGTAATTAATCATATTACAATTACTTTGCAAATGTAATTAATTAAATTACAAATTACATTTAGAAACATTAGAAAAAGTCATGAACGTTCCTTTACATTCATATCAAATTCAGTTACTTTTTTTCTTTTTTACATTATCATTATTGTGTCCCCTAACCTACATCTATCGGGTTTAAAGATTTTCCTGCCACGATGAAGATATTTTCCACTGGGGCATTTGTGACAGGAATATATAGATACTGACACTGCTTTATACATATAAATGTAGATACACTATACCTCATCTAGAAACCATCCAGCCCCAGGTCCTGAGCCATCATGGCCAACTGTCACAAATGCCAAGGGTCCAACATCTACTGTCTCAATCTGCAGGATGAAAATGGTAGAGTAAGGTCTGTGATATCAATTATACATATTTAAGACTATTCTGTTACATTCACTTTTGCATAAATTTATATTTATAAATGCTTATCATATCTTCTTTATTATATAAAAGAAATTGACGAAAACAATTCTATTGTTTTTCTTTGAACAAAAGTAGAGATATATTTGCTGTTGCCAAATGCAATGAAATACAGAAATATGAGAAAACACATGAGTATATGATAAAAATCATAAATGTAAAACCTCAAAGAGAACTAGAGTTACCACCAGGAGAATGAAAGATGGACAGACCAAAAGAGGACAGACAGAAAAAAAATTAATACCCCTACTTTCAGTGAAAGTGAGGGACAAAAACTGGGTCAAGGTTGCTGCACACCCTTAATTCACGATCAATCTATGCTGCTAGTGCCATGGAAAAAGAAAATATGCTCCAGAGAAGAATTTTACACAAAGATGATTTTTGTCTTTGACCTTTGATCTATAAAAATTGGTTCAAGGTAACTGACATCATTTATCCATGGGCACTCTTTTTTCCATGGGTTAAGCCAAATATGGCCAAGAAGAAAAAAACAAAACACTCTGGACAAGAATTTTACACAGAGGTGTTCTTTGGCATTGATCTTTGATCTAGGAACTTGCTTCAAGGTCACTGCATGGCTTTTCATGGGTGAAGTTTGACCCAGATTGGGCCAAAAGGAGAGACAATATATCCGGTACAAGTAATATCAGACATAGAGATGGATGACAGACTGATCACTATATATTAAGGGGCACAAAATGCACTATTAAGACTGATCCTCTACTCAAAGCTATGCCCTCCTTCCTTCTCCAATAATGCCCAGTGTTCTAACATAATAAAATCCGAGAAAGTATTTTTGAGAATAAACATAACTGACAGAGATAGAGATGTATGTAAAATCACTGCACTTAGATATGGTTAGTGTGAACTGAAAGTTTAACAAAATATTACATAATGTATTTTGGGAGAGGAAAGGTGCACTGTTAAGGGTTGAACAATAAAATCATGCACACTCTTCTTCAACATTCTTTGGGTAAAATAAAGGGTACAATCACCATATAGACCTACAATAATGATATCAGCATCTACTCCAAAACTCTGAAAGAAATTGGTCATCAACACAGTCACAGTCAGATAGTTTGCTTCAGTTTCAAGTTTCTTATTAGATATTATGCATGTACAATTATGGACTCCAGTGTAGGTCGATATGTGGTTATATCACTTGACATGGGTCCTTATAACCACATACTGACCATTTAATGAAGTCCATAATAGTTATATTATATAATCACTCAATGTGAATAATCTGACACAGTCTTAACTAAACAGACCTAGCTGCCATTATGTCACAGTAGTAAAGATATGCTTCTTATATTATGATGTCACATTCTACGTAACTTTGGTGCAGCTGAATGATGAGTCATGCAATATCATATTCCGCGTATGCGTTTTTGCGTCAATGTCACAAAAGGACGAATATCACATGACATCCTTTTAGCCAATGAAAATTATGAACATAATCATTTTATACAATATTTGCTATCATTGGCATGAACTTAGTTTTAATTGACTGAATTTATAAATGTGTTTCTCCAGTCAAGGTCTTACCTACAGTCATGAAACTTGGGAACTTTAATAATGAATTTTATCCTTGCTGAATACTATAGTAATTCTTTGATTTAGTATAGAGAGAGAACACACTTTCATTTTGCTCACCTTGAATACATCCGTCTGTCCCTTTTCAGAATTATTTTTCTCATCATCCAATGGTAGTCTTGGTGTTTCAAAGCCCTTCTTTCCATGCAGCTGTATATAAACATTTGCGTCAGTCCCAGCAAAGGATTTTTTCCCTGTCTTCACAATGATTTGGTATGTTGTGCTTGGGGCTTCTAATCACAACAAATACACATATCAGCAGAAAATAAATACAGAATTTTTCTTTTGTTTTAAAGAGAGTTTCTTGTGATTTTTTCACAAAACTCTTTTAAAGCTAAAATTCTTCCAAGTACAGTGTATTTATTCTTCATAGAAGTGATTCTCTGAAAACATGAAATACAGTCATCCTTGCACCATATGTGGTTTACAATTATCTCTCAACATGAGGATAATTTTTTTTTTAAATACATGTACATGTAATGATGTAACAGCTTTTTTTTTTTTAAATCTTCGATAAGACATACCATGACTGGCTTCTCCCTTGTAGTGAAGTTGCTTCTTCATACACTTAAGCTGCCTCTCAATCTTCCCATCATCTTCTTTCTTATCAAGCCATTTATTACATGGGAAGTGAAACTCTTCATAATCAGGAGTTCTAAATGGTGCCTCTTCTTCTTCCTCACTCTCTGTATCAGACTCCTGCAGTTCACGCCTCTTCTTTCTCTGTTTGTGTTTTGCCTTGGCTTTTTCTCTAACCTTTTTTTTCTCTTTTTCTACGTGAGCTTTGATTTCTTTCTTTGTCAAATGTTTTCTTATTATCACCTAAAATAGATACTGTATGTGTACTTGAAAAAGCGGGGTTTGTATTTTAGTAACTTTGGCGTAGACAACGATGCGCAAATTTAAGAATACCTTTTAAATAAATCATAAATGTTTACATTTTCATATATTTTTCCTTAAAATTCTTTACATATTAGAAAAAGTTCATGTTCTAATGAATTACCATGGGATGAGTAAGAATATTTCCATTGTGATGTAATTGAAGTAAAAAAAAAATAGTGCATATTTTTTTTAAAAAATAATCGTTGAATGACCAAAATATGTGGCAAGTCATCAAAATAATCATGTAAATATAAGATATGAATTTAATTTTTGAGAATTCATGAGGTACATGAACTACAAGGCTTCACACCTGCATATTTATCATGAAGTGCTACCGCGCTTCATGAAATATGCTGGCATGAAGCGACTTAGTTCATGTCCTCATGAATTCTCAAAAATATATAGCACCTGACTAATGATGCAGGGGTCCCAGGTTGGATTCCTGGTCCAAACATAAATTTTCTCCTTTCCTGTTACCATACTAATGGGATAGGCAAATTCTTCAGTGCCAGGTCTATGTTTGTATTAATTAGGAAAAAAGGTCCCATAATCAGTGCTTGTTATTAAACTATCTGTTTTCTCAAACTCTTGTTTCTTAATTTTTTTCTAATTTTCAAGATACACAAGAGCAAGCCTTGCGTCTTTCAAAATAAAAAAAAAATAAGGAACTCAAATTTGAGAAAAAACTGGATAGTAACTTGCCATGGTTTATAATTATGAGAACCTATATTTACATGATGTTTTTGGATGTTAAATCTTTGTAGGTGTTCTGAGGGGAGAAATGTTTTGTTAAATCTTTGTAGGTGTTCTGAGGAGAGAAATATTTTACTCCTCAGAAATTTGTAAAGACAAGAGTAAGAAATTTAATGCAATTTTTCAAATCAAAGTTAAAAAGTGTGTTAGAGAAATAAATAAATAAAAACATTTTTTGCATAGAAGATCCCCATTAAGAAATACAAGTAAATGAGGTATCTACTCAAAGTCTTTCTACATATGTAACACTTCATCTATAAATTCTAACAACAAGAATAAGTGCTCATAAATTCTTTGTAAAAAATTATCATTATTTATTATTCATTTAACTTTTAATACAACTTGGCAACAATTATAATTTAATGAAAAATTTTCCTGTACTATGTAGTCTCTATATATATGTACATAGAGTGTTGTTTACTTGATTATGTACTAATTAATAAATCTTATGTTGATATTTAATTAATAGAATAGTAGCTGTCTAGCTGAATGTGAAATGAGAAAACAGAGTGAAAGTCACTCTTTCTTACATGTGATCCAATCCCACAAACTTTTACTATATTTAATATAGGTATTGAGAGATAGTCAGTAAGGAATTAAGTTAGTTGTTTTTTAACAAATTCAATGAATCTTACATCATCTAGAAACCATCCAGAGCCGGGTCCTGAGTCATCGTGGCCAATCACAATGTGAGACAAGGTACCAAGGTTCACATCCTCTAACTGGTAAAATATATATAGTCACAGTGTTACTAAAGCATACTGATCATCTTAAGTATTGTTGGAAAATTATACCTACGGCATGTTATTAAAACAGAGATTACCTACAATATTGTAAGAGGTATGTACAGTAATGCTAGAGCAGTGAAATATACACAGTACATTACTAAAACATATATAGTGGTTATACCTACAATACTTTTGGACTAGTTCAATATGATTCTTCATATATACATACAATTGTCTCTACTACATTTACTGATTAAACAGCATGTTGTCTGACATTTCCTCACGGTAGTTGTATATAAATGCAAGATCTCCTTGGTCATATGTACTTAGTATCACAATTTAAATGAGTGCTATTCAAAGGAAACATGTTTGATTCTCAATGGACCTCTGATTTCAATGTACAGTGTACAAACCTCAAAAATATCCTCCATTCCCTTCTCAAAATTATTTTTGGCATCATCAAGCTTGGTTCTTCTGGAACATCTTCCATTTTCTCCAAATATTTGGATGAAAACATCAGCATCTGTCCCAGCATACTGAACTTTTCCTGTGTGGACTATCACAGTGTAGTGTACCTTCTCTTCTGTAACAGATGACAGTTAACAAATACATGTACCATACATGTACCATATACCGGTAAGCAGAAGTTTTAGTGGGGATTCAATTTTGGCTTTATCAGGGAGGGTGTTGAGAATGCTAATATTGAATATTGCTAATGATTCATTTCATCTTGGTGGTAATAGTTTCCTTTCTTCAGGATAAATGGCTTAATTCAATTATCTTGCTAAAAATTTTACTTATTTGGTACTATGACTGCATTCTTTGATGCAAGGAACAAATCACATAGTCACAAGTCTAGTCTAGTTTATAACATTTACTATGTACTACCAAGTCTAAATAAATATTAAATTATTTCTAAAAGGTACCAGTACTTTTGCCAAATCTACTGTAAACATACATTGTTACTTATTTTAGTGTAATAATATTTAGCACCTTTCATTCTGCTTCTTGTCCCCAGAGTCATGTACATACTTATAGATAATTTAACTATTACATTTCCTTTGAAAGACTTAATTCATGTGCTAATTTAAGATTGCACTAATCAGATGAAGAGGTTGATTGTGCGAAGTTCTAAGATTAACATTAATCCCCTCCATATTTTATATTACCAAATGATAAAGATGATTAAATTTGATCATCCTGACCTTGGGAATTCTCACTGAAATGAAGAGTATTACTGGCACTCTTTAGTTCCATCTGTACCAGACCGTCTCCTTCATCATTGGCCAGCCATTGGTTACATGGAAACACACACTCCTCATACAGAGGAGGAGTAACCTTTCTCCTCAGCTCTTCCTCTTCTTCCTCACTGTCCTCGTCTCTTCGCTTCTTCCTTCGCTGATTGGGACTTTCCTCTCGGGATTTTCTCAGTGCAGCTTCTTTCTTTTCTCTCTTGTCCTGCTCTTTCTTTACATATTTGCTGGCTTCTTTTTTCAAGATGTATCTTTTGATTTTGACCTACAGGTGTGTAACAATTATACAACTATTACATTTACGTCATATTTGTGCACGTACAGATAGAGGATGCATGTGAACTCTGACCTAGTGTTAAATTATTAGGTTCACATAAACATCATAAAGGTAAACATATTTTCCTATTGTTATACCTTTAAAAATTTGTTCCTATATAAATCAATACTAATAAAAGTCTAACATTTCCAATGTTTTACTGAGCGTGCATAAAAAAATCGATGTTTGACCGCAGAGTGAGATATTGGACCTGTCGATGAGATGTTGGACCACTTATGTCACATAATGGGCGGGGTCAGCTAAATCTCATTTGCATTCGTTGGTGGTCGACATACATGCATGTCAAAAAAATTTAAATTAATAAATAAAAGGTATAACAAAACATTTATTGACTGTGTTCTTGGGCAAAATGCATGTTGCCCTCGAACCCAGTCAATAAATGTATAATGCTTCTTTTAGTTACTTTTTAAGGAAATTAAATTAGTAGAATTATTTGAATGAAATCAGTTTTAAAATTGTTTCTTGACATTCTTACACCCCAAAAACTACATAAATATCACCCTTATAAACTCTTTTTTAACCAGAAAATGATTTTTTTTTTGTTTCTTCAACACAATACATTACCTCATCTAGAAACCATCCAGCACCAGGTCCTGAGTTATCATGACCAACAATAATGTGAGAAATGGAACCAACATCAGGAGCTTCCACCTTAAAGCAAAGGCAAAACCTGATGCATTTATATCTAACTTATAACAGGAAGAAAAAAGAATACTGTAAACTAACTTTTTCAACAGGGTCATAATTCCAATGAATCACAATTTCTGATCAATCTGCAGGGATGAAAAATTCCATGGAAAATTTGTGACCACGCACTTACATAGCATAAATTAATAGTCACTTCTCCAGTAACTTGACAGTGAAATGAACAGTCATGCAGAAATTTTAAACATATTTTAAAAATAAATTTATGAATTCTGCAGCCTACTTACTTTATATTGTTCTACAGCACCCCTTTCAAAATTGTTCCTAGAGTCATCCAACTTGATTTTGCGAGTGGCTCTGCCATCTTTACCACAAATTTGTATGAAGACGTTTGCATCTGTTCCTGCGTACTTGACATCACCGGTTTGCACTGTTACCATATATGTTGTCTTTGGACCTTAAACAGATCATAAATCATATAACTCATACTTTATAATATATATACTATTTCACATTTTGGATTATATCAATAAATAATCTATTATTTTTTTCCTCTACCTAATTATTTTTTAATTGTATTAAATTTTATTGAAAACTAATGTACACAATATTTTTTTAAAGAACATACATGTAATGCCACATAAAATTAATTTTTAGTACATGATGGGGTGGAGCTTTGATTGCATGTTTCCAAATTTACAAATGTACTACAATTCTAGTGCATGTATATATGCTGGAGTAGGCTCACTATTCTACAATATTATTAAGCAAATGTATAAAGTTAGTAGGTCTTGCATACGAATTGAAAACAGTGTAACAGATTTCTTTCCAATAAAATTAGGGGTTTAACAAGGAGATAATTTTAGTCCAAACCTGTTTAAGATTTTCATAAATGATCTTCCCAACTATCTTGAAAAATCAATGGACCCTGTTTTCATAAATGACTCTCCTATACATTGTTTGATGTATGCAGATGACATTATTTTATTATCTACCTCAGCAGAAGGATTACAGTCCAAGCTTAACATCTTAGAGAAATACTGCCAAAATTGGTGTCTTACCCTAAATCCACAGAAAACAAAAATTCTGGTCTTCAACAAAGCGGGCAGACATATTAAATATATTTTTAAATATCAAGAATATAACCTTGAATGTGTACAACATTGTAGATATCTTGGTATATACTTCAGTGCATCAGGCATTTTCTCCTTTGCTCAAGGTGATTTATATAAAAAGGCTTTAAAAGCATATTTCAAACTAGAAAAAAATTTTCTTTCAATGAATCCCAAAATTAAAACATGCCTACATGTGTTTGATCACACAATTAAACCAATTCTTCTATATGGATGCGAGATTTGGGGATCATTCAATTGCAAAGCTAGTAAATTCAGAAGGGGGGATAAGGTCTCTTTGGATCAGATATACTCTAGTACCATGTGTGAAAAACTTCACATAAAGCTTTGTAAATTTCTTCTTGGTGTGCATAAAAAATCTACAAATTTTGCTGTTTTATCAGAGCTTGGTAGATTCCCGTTACACTTTGACATAGTAAAAAGCATGGTTAGGTACTGGCAAAGACTTGAAAGACTGGAAGAAAATGATAGAGAATTTCCTTTACTTAGAAATGCATATAAACATTCTAAGAAACTATATTCTGTTAATAGATCCTCTTGGTACAGGTCACTACACACTATTCTAGAAAATATACCAGAACTGAAGGGATGTTTAAACAACTGGAAAAAAGTTAGTTAATATACAATACACAAAATTCTGAAGAAAACTTACATAAAATTATGGCATGACAATTTGGGCAGTTATATGGATGGTAAACTACGTACTTATGTTAAATTAAAGATCAATTTGGTTTCGAAAATTATCTTAATATCATTAAGAATTTTGAGTTGAGGAGATGCCTGACTAGATTTAGAATATCTTCACATCATTTACAAATTGAAGTTGGAAGGTTCCAGGGTATCCCAGCACACATGCGATTATGTTCTAAATGTGATTTGAATGAGGTGGAGGATGAAATACATTTTCTCTTCAAATGCACTAAATTCAAAGATGAACAAGAAATTTTCTTAAAATCTGTCTCAGAATTATGTACCAATTTCCCTAATCTTGATTTTAATGAGAAGCTTATATGGCTATTTTCAAATGAAAATGAGTCAATCTTAAGAATACTAAGTCAATTCATATCAAAACACTGTATATGATTTTTAAACAATATTACTGTATATTGCTACATTTTGTTAATTATAATTGTGCTCATTTTGCTTATCTACATTAGACATGAGGAGGAATGCAACCTTTTATTCATGTTTTTTTTTTTTTTTTTTTTTTTTTTTTTTTTAACTGACTAAAATTCATGCATTTCCTTGAGCACCGTCCCTTGATGTCTTCTGTAGACTGGCAACCACACCTTTATCTTGTAATCTATTTACATTTATACACCCACCATGGTAAAATTTGTTTAAATTTTTCGATTATGTACATTTTCTCAATTTTATGTGATACATACATTATTGAATTACTGTTCTACATAAGTTATGAGGAGGAATGCTGTCCAGGCAGTTACACTTCTGAGACATGTATATCCTAGAGCACTGTCCCTTGAAATCTTTTGTAGTTTAGGGACTCAATTGTAATGCCATATATGGCTTCCTGGTGTAAGGGAGATAATTCAAATTGCTCATCAACTCTATTTTTGCTTAGACTCAACATCTAGTATTTTTATGTTCTGTATTGCTGTATGTTCATGTATTTTCTTGTCCTCTTGAGTGTTACAAATTATGCTTGTATCTATGTTATGCCCCCAGTGGGACCATGATTGGCAAATAAATTCTATTCTATTCTATTCTATGCTGACTTTGTTCAATTACCAACCAAAATTCTTTTTAATCCATTTTGAGCACCCCCCCCCCCCCCAATACAACCTAAGGATGGTACACTTTTAGAGGGGTGAGAGGGGATGAGAATCTAAAACATTAATTTTATGTGGCCTATTAATAAATCAAGTTACATGAACAAAAAAAAACTAACAAATTCAAAGTAGCACGCTAGTCAAAACCAACTTGTAAACCATGCAGTTAAAATTTGAATTTAATCTGAATTAAAGTGTGTTAAACTTGGTAAATATAAAACATGGATTTCTGGGAAGTGATGAAAGGTCCATAAAAATTTCTATGAGTTAATTCAGCACAAACATCATCGTGGGATACCCATGGGTGGTCTCAACTTCTACTCATCATAAAAGACAAGATAATGCACCCATTGGTATCTGACAATACATAGACAATGTAAATGAACAGAATAAGTTGGTGATCCAAAGGTACCAGCTCACTTAAAAATGCTTTAAGTACAAAATCATGCATTCAAAAACAGTATTAAATTAGACTATAGGCAAAGAACAGGAAGATACATAAAAAATTTACCATTTTTAACAATCTGATAACCTGTTATATAATACACACTAAAATATACTCATTACACACAAATGCTGTATGTTTTGTACAACATAGAATGTCTTGTATCCATATTTAAAATTCTTACAATCTATTGTCCCCTCCCAATATAATTTTTTTTTAAATGTACATGCAAAAGTCAACAATGTCAAAGATCTCTTTAATATTTTAATTATATTTATATGCATGATGTTAAATTGATAATAATTTATTAATTTGCACATGCATAATTACAAAGTTTAAATATTTAATGCAATTTTGATGTTTGTTCATTTACAATAAATTCACAAAAAAAAGATAGTTTTCATATGACATATTTTCCCTCGGAGTTATTCCCCTTGGCCACCATCTTGGAGGTCAAACTGGTGAATTATCCTCTTTGAGCGACCAATTTTACGCTTATATGGCAGAAATATACAGAAAAATATCTTTACAATATTAAAATTACGAATTGAAGGAGGCTCTAACAAATGTATATTCATCAGAAAATTTAAACAAGATTATCAACACCACCAATGCCCAGTATGAGTCTGGGTATGCTGACCTCCAAATTATGGCAGCAAATGGGAATCACTCTTGCTAAAACTGAAAACTATCTATATAAACATAACAAAAGTCTGTGAGCCAGTGCTCACTAGCTATACCCCCACTTTGATGTGAATATATACACTCTGATGTGATTTCGGATTCGTCCAAAAATGATTCTCACCATATGACATGCCTAACAAAGAGTGTGCTAAAATTTCAAGCATCTGCAATCAGTAGTTGCTGAGAAAACTGTGATCAAAATTTGTTATGTATGGTACGGACAGATGCATGGATGAACAGAAAGTTGACATCGGATTTGTACAAAAATGAATCCCACCATATGGCATGCCTAAACAAAGAGTGTGCTAAAATTTCAAGCATCTGCAATTAGTAGTTGCTGAGAAAACTGCGACAAAAATTTGTTATGAATGGTACGGACAGACGCATGGATGAACAGAAAGTTGACTTCGGATTCATACAAAAATGAATCCCACCATATGGCATGCCAAAACAAAGGGTGTGCTAAAATTTCAAGTATCTGCAATCAGTAGTTGCTGTGAAAACTGCGACAAAAATTCGTTAGGTATGGTACTGACAGACACATGGATAAACAGGAAGTTGACATCGGATTCATAAAAAAATCGTTCCCACCATATGGCATGCCTCAACAAAGTGTGTGCTAAAATTTCAAGCATCTGCGATGAGATGTTGGTGAGAAAACTGAGACGAAAAATTTGTTACGGACAGACAGACAGATGTACAGCTAGACACACAGACAGACAGACAGACACACAAGGGTAAAACAGTATACCCCCCTCTCCTTCGGAGCAGGGGTATAAAAACATAAATTAATAAAACAACAAAGTTCCAACACCAAATAAAATATTACCTTTTGTTCCTTTGAATGTCAAAAATAAATATTGCTATTCTTTATACATGGTTATTAAGATGAGAAACAAATGGAATGGATAATGAGTTAATAGTAGTATGAATTAACAATAGTAAATATGATGTATGAATTTTAATTTTGTTCTAGAAGTCCAGTTAAAACTGAATGTTTATGAAATATTGAAAGTTTCTATGGAAGTTACTAGTAATTAATGATTGATACATTGTTGTGTATATAATTATGATGTCAACCTTCAATATCTCAAGTGGAAAGGAACCAGCAAACTTTAATTGTCTTATATCATTTTTTATTCTTCTTTTTATTTCATGGCATATTACATTTAAGCAAATTAAAAAAAAATATTTTTACTTCTACTGCAAAAAGTGTTGTTACATTTCCACAAAATAATATATAGCTATTATGAACATATATAAGCACTGAGTTTCTGCAATTTACATTAGGCCATGAGTTCAAGACAAACTTGACTGTGTAAAGAATATGCAAACTACATGTATATAAGAACAACAAAATGCCAGGATGAATTTTTAAGGACTGTCAAGTACAAAAGTGCCCAAACAGACATGTAAGATGTTCTAGCACCAAATTTATATCTGATGGTGGCTGTGATAGTATACATGTAACTTTTATACAAGCATATAGAACATTTCTGTAGTGCTACAACTAGGGTGTCATTTTGTATAGATCTGTCAAAAATTAAGAATTGATATTTTATGTGTTAACATATACCTACACTTTTATACAGACATGCTACATAGTTCTGTTTTGTCAGTATTCATTATTATTACAGGTCTCTTTTTATCGGTTTTTTTTTTTTTTTTTTTTTTTGGTCATTTTATCATGCATATTGTACTGTACATGGTATTTTATTCATAAAAATAATTTATATCATTTTTTTTACCTGTGTGCCTGTGATCTACATTGTAGGTAACATTTTTGCTAAATTTTAATACATTTTTTTTGTGTGTGTGGAATTGTAAAAAAAAACTTTTGCAGAATCATAGCTTTTTTTGCAGAAAGGTAATATCAATTTGCAGAAACTTAGTTTTGTTTTTTTTTGTTTTGGATGTTTGTCTGTTGGTTTTTTTTTTTTTTTGTTTTTTGTTTTTTGTTTTTTTTTTCAAATTTTAAGCTTTAAGGAGAATATCCTCAAGGGAGGTAAACAAATAAAACACACATATCAAGATATTGATGTTTGACAGAATGAGTGATGAAGCACATGCTCTCAATAAAATTTCAAATACCTGTAGTTAATTCTTTAGGAAGTGATTTTTTGGCAAAGATTTCTCGATATAGATGTCCTTTTCCAACATCTTTCCCAATAAATCCCCCATAAAGGAAGTAATAGGTCTGTTTTGGTGCATTTGTGGCAATTGTGATCTGTATAATAGCTTATTGTTACTCAATATAAACAATTCAGTCAGATTTTTTCATAGAAATATTGTACAAATTTAAATGGTATGTCCTTTTCTATCATTTACATGCATATATCAGCATTAGCTTTAATTACTACATGTATAAGTAAAATATTTAAGTTAAGCAATTACTACTCACCTTTTCTAAATGCCATCCTGAGGCTACACCTTTGCCATCATGTTCTATCCTGAGAAGAAAAAAAACAATAAATCATCTAGCTATCACAAAATTCTCCCTAAACTTATTTACTATATATCATTAGGCTGAGTTTTTTCTCATATTTTCATGTACCTGTACATTAGGACTTGTACTGAGCAAAAAATTGTGATATGATACGATACAATACTTTATAAGGCAATTAATATGCGATATATTGGATTCTTTAACAGGTCTATGAAAAACAGTCTTATAAATCGTTTAATGCATGAATTTCATAGAAACTAGGTGTTTTATAATCCATTTCGAAGTTCTTGTCTCACTGTCATCACAAATTGCATTTCAAATTCAAACTTTTAACGACTGTAAAATCAACATGTTAAAATATGGTTGTCTATGTATTTTGTAATATTATTTAAAATCTGCTATCCCCAAATTATTATATCATTATTGATCATTTTTAATGCAAAACAGTTAGATATATTCTTTTGTGATTGAAATTCTCAACTTTTTCAAAGAATTATAAGAAAAACTGCCTGTTTGATATGTAATTGGAAGTTGCTTTTTTTTTTGATACAATACATTCTTGAATATCGGTACATATCGATATATTGATACAGCACTACTGTACACACCTGATTTTCTTTAACTCTCCCAAATCTCGCTGAGAAATTCTGAATTTGTCGACACTCCCCTTTTCAAAACACTTCTGCCCTTTTGAAGAGTCTACCAAATGAATTTTTGGGCTCTGTCCTCTTGCACCATATATAGTCAAGTAAATGTTGGCATCAGTACCACCAAAGGACTTGGTCCCTGTATGCACTGTGATGTCATAATCTGTAATTGATGATTAAGTTAATTAAAATTTGTCAAATGAACCTATAAATTCAAATATCTTTTTCAACAAAAGAAATAATTTGTTATATATGAATACATTTTTATATTAAAATACATTCAGGAATCAATGCTCTGTTATATAATAAAAAATATTGCGTAAATAATTACATCTAGCAGTTAATGTTTTCAGATTTGTCTGCCAAATTTTTATTTATTCATGTATTTGGTGGTTTTTGCTCCTCTCACATTTTATTAGTTGATAATTCTACCTGCTTTACTTATGATTCAATCTCTGTGCTAACCTAATATTGTATAGCTTCTTGTTTTCATTGCTTGGCCATGATTGGTTGTTCATGCTACTTGCTAACTTATGATTGGTTGCTATTCTTCAAGCTGACTGGATGTTCATTCTCTATACTGACACCTATTTTTATGATTGACTGTTAATTGTCTCTCCTCTCTTGTGATAACTCATATCCCTTCATAAACTAATGATCCTTGCTTCCCAATTATTGGTTGTTCATACTTCTTGTTTCCCTTTCTTAGCTATATTTAGTTGTTAAATGTTTACTCTCCCTGCTTACATGTACCTATGATTAGTTATTTATTCTTCATGCTCACCTATGATTGGTTGTTCCTCCTTCTAGCTTACTTATGATTAGTTATTTATTCTTCTTCCTTATCTATGATTGGCTGTTCCTTCTCCTTGCTTACTAGTAAGATTAGTTAGTTATTCTTCTTCCTTACCTATGATTGGTTGTTCCTCCTTCTAGCTTACTTATGATTAGTTATTTATTCTTCTTCCTTATCTATGATTGGCTGTTCCTTCTCCTTGCTTACTAGTAAGATTAGTTAGTTATTCTTCTTCCTTACCTATGATTGGTTGTTCCTCCTTCTAGCTTACTTATGATTAGTTATTTATTCTTCTTCCTTATCTATGATTGGCTGTTCCTTCTCCTTGCTTACTAGTAAGATTAGTTAGTTATTCTTCTTCCTTACCTATGATTGGTTGTTCCTCCTTCTAGCTTACTTATGATTAGTTATTTATTCTTCTTCCTTATCTATGATTGGCTGTTCCTTCTCCTTGCTTACTAGTATGATTAGTTATTTATTCTTCTTCCTTATCTATGATTGGCTGTTCCTTCTCCTTGCTTACTTGTGATTAGTTATTTATTCTTCTTCCTTATCTATGATTGGCTGTTCCTTCTCCTTGCTTACTAGTAAGATTAATTAGTTATTCTTCTTCCTTACCTATGATTGGTTGTTCCTTCTCCTTGCCAATCAGGTCCCGACTGTCAGGGGAATCAAACCACTCTTGACATTTAAACACCCACATCATCCCTGACTTCATGTCTGTAATCTCAACTCTGTCGAGGAACCACCGTAAACTTCTCTTCCCTCCTTCATGCTAAAGAAAACATCATCAATACATACAGTGTATACTGTATAGATGTATAAAAGCAATTATAATTATTTATTCATCTTTGCTCATTTTGGGCCACAAAATCAACCACTTGACCAGTATATAAGACCATTACTTTATCAAATTATTAAAAAAAAATCAAATTAAAAATGCTCTGAGTTTTCAAAGTCTATCTCTACCTCAATTGTAATAATTTCTAGATTCCCAAGTCTCGGTCCCTTGAGAAAAAATGATTCTTTGGTATTTCTCATAAAGGAAAAGTTTGAAGTTTTCTTGGACAATTTAGTTCTGTACAAGACATCTCTACTTCCCTTAATTGTAATAAAAACCTGAAGAACATTGAAAAAAACCATGAAAATTAATATTTAACTTTGCATAAAAATATCATTCATATAAGAAACCCTTTCAATATAAATTACAGTACTTCAACGGAAGTGTCTATGGTGAAATTAAGAGTAATAAACATGATAAACAGAGAGTGAAATTTGAGATTCTAGATAATATCGATGAAAAGATAGAAGAAAGTGAAAAATGAACGAAAAAATATTCCGGATCTATATGCCACGTTAAGGACTCCTTGTACTACTATTCGTAGAGACTCTTCCGGTATCGTTTGCCAACGGATTTGGCTACAACAACGCAGTTTTGTGAAAGGCTTTGGGGTCTTACCCAACCATTTTTGAACTTTAAATGTGTGTTTTATATGTTTCTCTTCTCTTATTCCTTATTTCTGCTCTCCTCTTTCTTTCTTTTCTTCCTGTATCACTTTTTTCCGAAGTACAATGGCTCCACGCTTTCAAAGGTAATGTTTACTTTTCAACTAAAGATGAATTTACAAATTTTATCTGTTAATTGTCAGGGTTTAGGGGATATCAACAAACGCCGAGATGTTTTTAACTTTTTAAAAGGACTAAATTACAATATATACTGTTTACAAGACACACATTTTACACCCAACTCTGAGAATGATGTTCAAAATCTATGGGGTTTTGATTGTTATTTTAGCTCATTCTCCTCAAATTCGAGGGGTGTAGCCATTCTCGTTAATAATAACTTTGATATACAAATTTTAAAACAAAAAGGGGATGCTGATGGAAACTATCTCTTTTTAGAATTTAAAACTGATGAAAAAAAGTTGCTTCTTTGTAATATTTATGGCCCCAATAATGATAATCCAGCCTTCTATGAAAACATACAAACTTGTATAGATGATTTTAATTGTGAAAGTGTTATTATGTGTGGTGACTTCAACCTTGTTTTGAACCCAGACATTGACTATTATAATTACAAACATATAAATAATCCAAACGCAAGGCAAAAGGTTCTTGATTTTATGGAAGATGGTGGTTATATTGATATATACAGACAGTTTCATCCAGACACTCAAAGATATACATGGAGGAAAAAAAATCCACTAAAACAAAGTAGGCTTGATTTCTTTCTGATCTCAGAAAATATATTGCCAAGTGCAATAGAATGTACAATTGAAACAAGTTATAGGTCTGATCATTCTATGATTAGTTTATCTTTATCTTTTAATGATTTTAAGAAAGGTAAAGGTCTTTGGAAATTTAATAATTCCCTTTTGAGTGATGAAAATTTTCTTTATACTATAAATGAAGTCATCAAGAATGTTAAAAAACAGTATGCTGTACCTGTATATTTAATGGAAAACTTGCAACAAGTTAACGATGAAGAATTAACTTTTACAATAAATGACCAATTGTTTTTGGAAACCCTTCTCATGGAAATAAGAGGAAAATGTATTTCCTACTCTTCATACAAAAAGAAACTAACAAAACTAAAAGAAGAAAAACTTGTAGAAGAAATAAAACGCCTTGAAGAAACAATACATACTACTGCTGACAATGTTGAAATTTTAGAGGAAAAAAATAAGGAATTAGAAGATATAAGAAAACAAAAGATGAGGGGTGTTTTAATAAGATCTAGGGCAAGATGGGTAGAACAAGGGGAAAAACCATCACATTATTTTTGCAACTTAGAGAATAGAAATTTTACAAGCAAGATCATTCCAAAAGTAGAAACAGAAAATGGTACAATTATTTATAAGCAGGCCGAAATACTGAATGAAGCCAAAAAATATTATGAATACTTATACAGAGATATAGATAATTCTTTAAATGACATCAATCTTGATGATGAATTAAACTTTCCAAATATTGTTAAACTTTCAAAAGTTGAGTCCTTGGAGACAGAAGGTAAAATAACATTAAAAGAAGCTTCAGAAACACTCCATAATATGAAATCAAACAAATCACCAGGTTCAGATGGGTTTACATCAGAGTTTTTTAAGGTATTTTGGAAATCCGTTGGAATTTTTGTTGTAAGGTCCATTAACTATGCTTATGAAAACAATACTTTAAGTATCACGCAAAGACATGGTATTATTACTTGTATACCGAAAGGTGATAAACCCAGACAACTTTTAAAAAACTGGAGACCCATCTCTTTACTAAATACTATTTATAAAATCGCATCCGGCTCAATTGCTAATAGAATGAAAAAATATCTTGATAAAATTGTTCATCGAGATCAAACTGGATTTATACAAGGAAGAAATATTTCCGAAAATATAAGACTGATATATGATATCATGCAATTTACAGAGGAAGAACATATACCAGGACTTTTACTCCTGGTAGATTTTGAAAAAGCTTTTGATTCCTTGTCTTGGTCTTTTATACAGAAATCCCTCAAATTTTTTAATTTTAGTAATTCCTTTAGAAAATGGGTTGATATTTTTTATACAAATATTACAGCTGCTGTTAATCAAGGAGGAAATCTATCACAGTCTTTTAACTTACACAGAGGCTGCCGTCAAGGAGATCCTTTGTCTCCATATTTATTCCTCATTTGTGCAGAAATCCTTGCAATCAGCATAAGAAACAATAAAGATATAAAAGGGATTCAGTTTATGAATACTGAAAAAAAGTTAACTATGTTGGCAGATGATACTTCTCTAATATTAGATGGAAGTGAAAAATCACTTCAGTCTAGTCTTGTTACTCTTAAAAAATTTGCGGACATATCAGGTTTGCACATAAATTATAGTAAAACTCAAGTAGTTTGGATTGGGTCAAAAAAAGGTAACAATGATACTCTATGTACAGATAATATATTAGAGTGGGGAAAAGCAACTTTTAAATTATTAGGCATTGAATTTGATACAAATCTTCAAAATATACTTATGCTTAATTATGCATCTAAAATCGGTAATATAAAAAAATTAATACAACACTGGAACAAGAGAAATTTAACTCCTCTTGGTCGCTTGACAGTTTTAAAAACCCTTTTACTGCCGACCTTAAATCATATTTTTGCATCTCTCCCAAATCCCTCTGAAATACAAATAAAAGAATTAGAGAAGATTTTCTATACATTTGTAATGGGTAGTAATAATTCAAGACTGAAAAGGAAAATTTGCATAATGAATTATAAGGAAGGGGGCTTCAAGATGATCAGTGTAAGAGAGTTCATTATGTCCTTAAAACTAGTATGGATGAAAAAATTGTTACTACAGGACAATGGGTTGGATTCTTTTTTAGATGTTGACATTAAAAAAGTTGTATACTGTGGGCAAGAGTATGTTGTCAAAAAAATGAATGATTTAAAAAATATATTTTGGAGGGATGTGTTGCAAGCATGGTTAAACTTTAGTGAAAAATCCTTACAAAATGACACACTTCTTTCTTTAGAACCATTATTTCTAAACAAAAATTTAATTATTAATAAAAAGCCATTTTTCTATAGAAGATGGTTTTCAGGTAATATTTCATGTATTAGTGACATACTTTATGAAGATGGGTCATTTATGAGTTTGAATGACCTGCACGCGAAATACGGGATAAAAACACATTTTCTTGAATATAATGGCATTAAAGCAGCAATATTAGAATGGCTGAGAAAGATAAACAGAGATCCTAATAATTTATTAAAGGTAACTTATCCATATATTCCAGAGAATGTTAATTCTCTACTGAATGCTAAAAAATCCCATGATTTCTATGAAATATTAATCAAACAAATAATTGAACCTTTGGGTAAAATCTCTTGGAATAGAGTCTTTGACTTGAGCAATGGTGAATGGGAGAAAATCTTTTTACTCCCATTCAAAATTACAAAAAACACAAAACTTCAGTGGTTCCAATTTAGAATAAATCATAAAATACTAGCAACAAATTCCTTCCTGCATAAAATTAAAAAAATTGACAGTAATGTATGTACTCTTTGTAAAACAGAAACTGAAACAATTGAACACTTGTTGTGGGAATGTGAACATGTTCAGACTCTTTTAGAGAATTTTGCAGAGTACTGCTTTGATAGAATCCACTCTACTATAACCTTCTCAAAAAAGGAATTTTTACTAGGCTCTGTGAAGAAAACTGACAAGCTTAAAAATATTATTGCTCTACAAATCAAATATTACATTTATCTGTACAAATGTACAAACAGAAACATTTCCTTAGGTGGGTTGATATCCTCTATTAAGACAATGTATGAATTACAAAAATATATATCTTATAAAAATAATGAAAGAGAATCTTTTGATGAAAGCTGGAGACTTTTGAATGACTTATTTTCATAATTCTCTCTCTCTCCCCTCTCTCCCCTCTCTCTCTCTCCTCTCTCTCTCTCTCTCTCTCTCTCTCAATTTTTTTTTGTAAAAAGAAACCATTGAAAATACAATAAATTATAAAAAAAAAAAAAAAAAAAAAAAAAAAAAAAAAATTACAGTAATTTGGATACTGGAACATAAAACAACTCAATTTTTTAATGCTTCTAGTTGCTTTTTCAACTAGATTTTATGGATTTACCTCCCCTGTGGTCCCTGCATTGACCTTATCCCCTGTGTATATATCCACCCTGTACAAGTGATCCCCTATGTTTGGAGCCTCCTCTATCATCTTTTGCTTTACCCTTGGTTTTGGAGCTACATATTCAATCCTAGGTTTGGCTGACACTGGTCTCTTTGGCTTAAAATAATAATAATAATGAATTTGATATCTTTTCTTAATAGTTATTGGTATCATATTTGTTATTACAATGTATTTTTGTTTTGTTTGTTCGTTTGTTTTTTTTTCCTCATTGTAGTTTATACATAAAGTACATGAGTTAACTAGACATTACCATAGAGATAAAAAGATTGAAAAGTAAATAATACTGGATATTTTCCTTCATTTCTTCATAGACATGATACATCTACCGGAAATTATTTAGTTACCCTGTATTGTAGCAAATGTCTCTTGTGTTCCTCTAATGTGGAACAAATGTAACAAAAGGTAGTTTTGGGTCCTGAAATACAAAGAATCAAACCTCATGCATGCACATATACCATGTATATTAATCATATAATAATTATACTATAATTTATATATAATTAAAAGTATAAAGTATATAAGTATTATATAATTATAATACAGAAGCTGTTGCAATGGCTCTTTCATTAATTGCAACTTAGGCAAGGTTTAATACAGAGATTTGAAATATAAATCTCATTTGCAGAAAAGACGAGTTAAACAAGAGGCCCATGGGCCATCGATCACCTGAGCACTGTGGCTAGGAAAAAAGCAAAAATCAGTTCAGTATTGAAAAGCTTTAATGCATAAGTGGTCCCGACCTACCCTTAAAAAGGGATAGGGGGTTGGGGGTTGGGTTGGGTTGGGTTGATTTGAACAAAATTGAATCTACACTAACTAAAGATGCTTACATATTTCTTTGTCTGTGACTTTTTTTTCTTACAAGTTTGAACTTTCATTATGGTCCCATCCTACCCCGAGAGTCATGGTTTGAACAAATCTGAATCTACAATATCTGAGGATGCTTCCTTATAATTATGATCAATCATAGCTTTGCTGTTCTTGAGAAGATTTTTAAAAAATTTTCCTATGTATTCCCAGGCATAACTTTAATCATCAATTGTGGCCCCTTCCTACCCCCAGGGGGTCATGATTTTTTTCAAACATGTACACCACTTGAAGATGCTTCCATATAAATATGACCAATCATGGCTTTGCTGATCTTGAGAGGAAGATTTTTAAAGATTTTTCCTATATATTCCTATGTAAAACTTTGATCCTCCATTGTGGCCCCATCCTACCCCCAGGGGTCATGATTTGAACAAACTTGAATCAACACCACTTGAGAATGCTTCCATATAAATATGACCAATCATGCCTTTGCTGTTCTTGAGAAGAAGATTTTTAAAGATTTTTCCTATATATTTCTATGTAAAACTTTGATCATCCATTGTGGTCTTACTCTACCCCCCGGGGTCATGATTTGAACAAACTTGAATCTACACTACCTGAGGATGATTCCACATGAGTTTCATCTTTCCTGGCCCAGTGGTTCTTGAAAAGAATTTTAAAAAATGCCATTAATTTTTCACTAATTTATAATTATCTCCTCTTGGGAGAGGCTCTTCATATGAACAAACTTGAATTCCCTTTACCCAAAGATACTTTGTGCCAAGTTTGGTTGAAATTGGCCCAGTAGTTCTGGAGAAGAAGATGAAATTGTGAAACGTTTACAACAACAACAACAATGATGACAATAACAACGACAGACGACTGACAAATTTTCATCAGAAAAGCTCACTTGAGCCTTCGGCTCAGGTGAGCTAAAAATGTAATAAGTAATTTGAAGTCAGGGTCAAAGGAAATGTCAAGGTCAAAAATGTTGATGTAGTTAAATAGCTCTCACCAATACGTATAAGCATATGAGGTTTGATTAAAATATCTTGAATAGTTTCTTTGAACCTGCAGAGCTAAACACTAATTTAAGAAAAGTAAGGTCAAGGCCAAAGGGAAGAAAAACCAGAAGTCTCTGATGAGACTGTAGCTCTACTGGTTTTTATTTATAACCAAGGAAGAGAAAAGTAGCACTTGCACTTGAAACTATGCAACAGCAATAAATAGAATAATGGTTCTTGGTTTAGTCTCTTTGTGGCAAGATTTATTGCAATCAGATTAAAACTGTTGGAGGAGTAATTTTGGAAGTATTTCACAAAAATTTCTATTTTTAGTTACCATGGCATTGTTCAGTTCATTGAACTGCTACTCTCCTAACAAACCCTTGGCCTATCGTGCTACAAAAGTTGTGATTGTTTATGTCACATGATCTTGAATCTTAACATATATGCTCAGCTATAGCATCATCAACAGAAATAAAAGAGCCTTTTTTAAAAATTGAAGTATTTAATTAAAGAATAATTAACAAGTAGATACTGAGCAATGTTTATTTCTTATTTAGAGTGTAAATCTATATCTGAAATACACTGTATATAGAATGACATGTTACAGATCGTTGCTTACCTGTGTTTTTCATTCCCGAGACTATAGAGTAAAGATATACCCCGAACAGAGATATTGTCATTAACAATAACACTAGCTGATTGGTCGAATGATATCAATAAACTCCTACCACAACATGAGAAAAAAATCCCGACTTTTGATAGCATGATATACCAAGGTTTGTGAGGAAAGAAGCAGATCAGAAACCCCTGGCTAGTGAAGATGCACTACTAGCTGTTTTATGCTCAAGACATTGGATGAACCTGAATTAAAAGAGGTGTCAGATGTCATATGTTTTACATGCATCCCTAATCTTCAGGTTAGATGCATACTGCCTGATGCAATATTCTTTAAACATTTCAAACATCCAGAATTAATTAAGCGCTATTAGACCCGGGCCATTAACTAACCTTCATCTGACTTAAATTTTTTCCTATGCATAATGTTTTCATTTTAGTTCAGTTTTCTTTGTGATTCTCTTGTTATACTGTAGATTCCTTATTTTACACGAGTACTTAATATCGCGAAATGGCCCTCAGACAATCGCGAGAAGTATAATTCGCGAGTGGACACTTAATCAAGAGTTTTTACGTGGATTTCAGCACCACAAAAATTAAAACGAGTAATTTTATTTCGTGAGTGGTAATTACGTGATAATTAATTCCTGACATATATTTAGGAATCTTCAGTAATTTCTTCTCATGAACAACCAATGCTGAGCATGAATATGATTTTCCATTGAGTCAAAACAATCATGATGTCACAGACACATGAAGAATCATAGTTCTATATAGACATAGACAGAGGGTACATATGTCACGTTAAAACATTGGTTTATAATTTCAAAACAATCACGCTAATCTGAGAAAATAAACCTTTCACAGACTTTAATGTCTGAATTTGAATTAAAAACTTAATAATAATGGGGAGCTCTATAGACTAACATGTAAGAACAGATGAAATTCGGAATGAAATCTACATTCGTCCAGCAAATTTTTGTGTGAAAACTTTCCAGAATTCTTTTGCTACCATGATTCCATATGATAATGGTGAATATAGCAACCTCAGTTTTGGAAGTTGATTCTTGCAGAGAGTTTAAAAGATTCAAAAATAATGGCTACTATTGAAAAATAAATGATGTCTTTTCTTTAAAAAAAAAAAAGCACTATCTAGACTCCAGTAATGGAAATGCAACTAACTTATGATGTCTCAGTCTAGACTGAGTCTTGTGTGGTTTGATGAGGCCAATCAAAGTTAAAAGTGTAAGCTATGTAATGGTTAAGTTTAATAAATTATGTAAAATATACAACTGCGCTTGCCCAAACAGTTACATCATAAAACATATTAAAGTGTAAATATATGGAATGTCTTTCTGATTTTTTAGAAAGTTCACGAGGGATAATTAACACAGACACTTTTCAAAGAGGTGTTATCTTGTTATATTACCTGTAGATAAATTTAATGAGTCTGACTCATCATCTTTAGTGGAATCCTTTTTAGTAGGCCATTTCATGTTGTCTAGAACTTGGCTGTCCGTAAACATGATATTTGTGTCATGCCATCTTACTTGTTTTGGATCTGGTGGACTTGGATATGCTAAAATACAATCATGAATTGAATATTCACATCAAACAAGGCTCTTTATGCCAGAATTCATTGAAAATGTTTTGCAAGATTTTCTTCCCTGTAATACTTGAGAATTTTTTTTTTAAATTTCTGTTCAACTGCGAGGAAATTCGAATTCATTTAATGGAAATTTCGATGTATCTTTTCAGTTTTACCATTGGATGAATATGCTGACTTTGGTCTATCACTGGGATGCCAGTGTTTTATTCCATATTGTAAACATGGTTCCAGTTTGTCTGCCATATTTGAGGATAATCGGTTGAGATTATCATGAGTTTTCCTGCATAAATTTTGGAGACCGTCACCATATAACTTTGGATTGATTTTGCCAACGCATGTTGTGACAGTTCCAACTTCTGGATCAGTCAATCTAGATCTCGAAAGATATTTTCTTTCTTTATTCATAATTTAAAGGTTTTGATGCAACTGTTCCAAATTAAATCATTATTATCATCCAAGCCAAATGGCAAAGTATGGCAAATGTGTTTACATTGTAACCACAGGAACTTAGCCAACAAGTGGTCGAAGGTGTCGTAATTTTTTTCGTAATTTATTTCATGGTCTAATTCGTTTTATTAAAAACAAATAAAGAAGTTCATATGAATGTTTGAATATAGTTTAACAATTTTTTTTTCAATTAAAATTATCAATGGATTTGAAAAAAATCTCGGATTCGGGGTTCAAATTATTCATGTATGCAAATGAACTCTGACCTTTTCGGAAGCAGTCAGCAACGCAGTTGTAGTGTATATTTCTCGACAATATTGCAGTTGCTCATCAGTTTCGTCTAAGAAATATCAGGTGTGATGAATATATTGAAGGTAATTAACAAGTTTATCCTATTTTATACAAGTGTGATATGAAAAAAACCTAGAAGGGAGTGCAACGTGGAAGCCACATGGTGAAGGCTATTTATAGCATCACGGAGCAAGATAAAAATGAAAAATTATCAAATATTTGATGTAATTTTACAGGAAATATTACTTAACTCATTTTTAGACTTCTAATCAATTTGTATTACACTAAATTAATTATTTTAATTATGAAAACATCTAAAAAAAAAATTTACAAACTGTCTTTAGAAATCAGCTTCCCCATCTGTTAGTATTAAAAAGAGAGGGTAAACAACCCCTTCAAAACATATGAAATAATTTGTTTAGTACTTGGTATAAAAAACTAAATAGAAGAGGAGGGTTTGATAAGATTCTATGGTGTGTGTCGATATATCCAGCCCCTAAATGCACCAAATGCATGGAAGCCCAGAGAACCCAAATGCATGGAGAAAGTCTAAGGTCCATTTTGGTATACTTGTATTACTTGATGTACATATCGTTAAAATTTAAAAAAAAAAAAAAAAAAAACTTTTCTAGATTACAGGTTACAATTTTATATTTGAATTTCAACAGGTTTTTCAAAAATATTACAATATTTTATTAATACTAGAAAACGTAGGGAATAGGGTGAAGTGTACCAATGCATCATTCACCCTGTGCCGACTTCATTTGTTACAGATCAGCGTACGCTGAATTGCGCCGGTCATATGACTGGCGTAAAACGGCTAAGTGGCAAATGAAGTAAACTGGCGAAAACAAAAAATAATTATACTAAATAATTAAATAATCAATTAATTATAATCTATCACTTTTTACATTATGTCTTAGCGGAAAAAAAAGGTAAATTTAATGTAATAAAAAAATCATGGACCTCGTGAAAAATTTTAATTTTGAAAATAACAGCAGATTTTAAATAAATGAATGGAAGTTTGTTCAAGAAATGTAAACAATTTAAGAACATGCCGAATTGGTAAAAAGTATCTGCATTTTAACAGTTGTTTAATCTTCCCGCCATATTTCTAAGACCAGTGAATCCGTCGCCGGTCATTTCAAACCGGCGAGATCGGCATACGCCGGCGAACCTTCCCCGGTCAAATGAAGTAACAAGCCGGGTTACCAAAGGTCAAGCGGCGCATTCGGCGTACACCGGTTTGACAAATGAAGTCCCACCCCTATAATACTTGAACAAGTTCTAGCGATATTGCTACCGACCGAATATTATCAAAAAGGAGCTAAACATGTATTATATGATTAAAATGTGAACTGTACTGTACATAGAAATATTAATTATGGTATTTTTGAAACTTGGTAATATCAATGGTTTAAATTTCCATTTTATTTTAAATCATCATATTTTGAGGTTTGAATTTTAAATGTTTATATTTTCTTATATTTTCTAAAGACAGACTATATATAAGAACTACAAGATAGATATTGAAATAGTCAGTTCTCATAAAATTTTTGCAATTGACAAGTGCACCTCTTGTCAAAATGATATTTAAATTGCACATGTGTTTTCCTCTGTATATTATGATTAAAAGACTACTCCATAGATCCTCATGTTTTGAAATTGGGTATGTGCATGTGATTTTATCCTATTGGTGTTTTTCATCCTTTTAATGAAGACTCTGAGGAAGAATACCCAACTTCAGCAACTTGTGGGATAAAAATCATATCCATGCAAGTACACAACATGGGGGTTCCATGCAATAATATAATACTTTCATGTAAATTACTTGAATCTGATTTCTCAAGAAACATTTGTTTAAAAAACACAATTACTCTCCAAGTAATAAAACCACGCCCTTCAATGTGTTAGGACATTGCAACAGTCAACATTGCTTGATGACGGGTGATATTAAAAAAATGTTGACTGTTCACTGTTGTAAATTTGTATTTGACTACTATTTGAAAATAAATAAATGCATGTAGTTGAGGATAACATTAAAAATCTTCAGCCCTTGAAAACCATTGTCAACCAAGGTTGACGATGGTTTTCTTGGCAGTGTTACCCTTAACTACATGCAATTATTTAATATATATTGATCTATTTATAATGTGTAAATGCATGTATAATGTTTAATACATGCATGGGAACAGAGGTATGGATGCAAATAGTCAAGTGCCATTTCAACTTGCAGTAGTAAGAGTTATCTCTCTTACACTAAGATGAGCTGTAGAGTGGTTCATAAGAAAATATGTCATTGCATGAAGAGTTCAGGGATCTTTTCCTTCATGAATTCCAAAATTTGGCTATACATGTACACAATAATTGTCACATTTACTATGCTTTCTTTGAGTTTGAAATTAAAAAGGTATGGAGTACTGGTACTATTTTGTTAAATGCCTGACAGGGTTGCATTGGATGTATTTCTTAGGAGCCATGTGGGATTCTGACTGTAAAAGTATTAATTATTAAAGTATATACAGTCCATTAAAGCTCATTATCTTGAACTCGATGGGGCCTAGGAAAAACTTCAAGATATCAGAGGATTCAAGATATCCAGGGTAAAATACTTTTAAAAGTGTTTGGGACTTCCAAATCACTTTGAGATATATATCCATGGTATTCAAGATATCAATGTTCGAGATACTGAAGTTCAACTGTAGTTTGTAATTGTGAACAGTTTATAAAATAAAATGTTAGTATTAGTGTTACATGCAATCACAAGATAACTCTAGCAATGACTGAGATGGCATTAAAATATAGTAAATCATGCCTTTTTTCCCTATTTTGATGAGAAAATCGAAATTGAGTTGCAAAAATGGTGGGGAAAAAAGTTGTAAAAGAAGGAATTTACTACTAAATTATTTTCTAGTAAAACATGATTACACCACAAGTAATTGCATGGATTTTGTTTTTCGAACAGAATGTTGATTGATGCCCAGCTTTGTAGAGGGAGTAAGATCTTTCAAACAGTAATCTTCAAACATTTTGAAAAGTATAAATCAGATGTTTAATGATGGGATCAGTAGGTTGACCTTGCATGACCTTCTCATAAATTTGTAAGCAAAAAAATTTATGTTTATGTTGATCTATTTTGATAATTATCTTCTTATATCACACAAAAGGTACACATGAATTTAGAATATTCTAAATTCATATATGTTTTTTTTTTCAATTCCACCATCAATCTTGATTTATGAGGGTTGTCCGGTAAAATCGTGGACAAGTTGTCTAGATTGAAAAATAATCATCACGTTCTAAAACTTTCACTACTTTTTAGTACATTTTTCATCAATATACATAGCAAATTTCAAATAGAAATCTGCTCAAATAAATAAAATATGAGACTTTATGTTATGTGTGGTATCGCCTTACGGCGCACGGATGACAACGTCAAAGCGTCTAAAGCGGCGTCACGTTTTCTCTTTGCTAAATAAAAGTTGGATATATAAGCCCCACTTAAATTCGGGGATTTCATTGATGCACATGCATACTTGATTTTCCCTATATTCCTCCATAACAGTCGAGGAACCAATCTCGCACACACATGGGACCTTCTACATATTTATTAGTAAGTTATGGACAGTACTCTCACTATCATTCAACTAAATAGGCTTTCTTATATTGACGGTCTACAGTGACAGCGTCTTTTGCTATGCCAGTAGCTGTTTGTCCGTATGTTTTGTTCTACCCGGGGACCCGATCAAAAAGCTTCCGCTAAGAAAACTTCCATTTCATTTGTATACTAAAGATCTAGTGATATTTTTTATTTTTCTGTAGTCATTTAAAGTTTCTTAGGGTGTCATTACTACATCTAAATCAAATTGAACTGCTCTCCGGTGCACCGTAATGTCACCAAAAGTCACCATTTTTCGTGTGTTGCGTTTACCACTTTCCCATTTCAAATGCTCGGTAAACTGCCAAAAATTAAGCAAATGCCTTGATATTTTACAGAAGACGAAATAATAGATAGTGGATTAAAAATAGGATAATTTTTACCCCAACCTTATCTATATAATACTTTTATATCAAAATAATACTCGTGTATTCGCTAATGAAACCCTGGTTTTTTTATCGTGCGCCGTAGGACCATTACCCTGTGCACATTCAAGCATAATAAAATCTTTATTTTTTATCAAAAAAATTAAGATGCACTTAAATATGATGAATAAACATTTGCTGAAAATTTCAGCTTAGTGCGCTCATTATTTTTCTTTAATACCTTGTCACTGGTAAATTGGACATATTAAAGCACTTTTTTAAGAATGATCCTGACTGTTATTTTCTTATATATAAAGAAGTCTTCAGGATGAGGTATTTTGAATACTGTTATTGGAATTGACCTTTGACATTTAGACTTGTAATGAAACTTGTTTATGACCATTTATCTTATCCAATGCAATATAACACAAAGCAGGTTTAGATGATTAAATTTCGTATGACACTAATAGAGTTTAATTTTGCCTTTACATTTGACTTCAATATTATGAAGAACATGTATAAAAAAGCATATTTTTCTCTCTCTCTCCTTTTTAGCTCACCTGAGTTGAATAAGCTCAAGTGAGCTTTTCTGATCACAGTTTGTCTGTCGTCCATCAGTCCGTTTGTAGACTTTTCACATTTTCCACTCCT